ATTTCCTTCCTTTTTAACTTAATGTTTCATTGTAGGCACATACCACACTATTTATCCCTTTACCTCCTGATGGACACATGGGCTGCTTATACCTTCTGGCTATTGTGCATAATGCTGTTATGAAGATTGGGTACAAGGGTCTATCTGAGACCCTACCCTCCATTCTTTAGAGCGTATACTCAGAACTGGGTTGCCAGATCATATGCTAAGTCGATATTTAAGTTTTTGAGGAACCCCACCCACTTTGTAACCCATACTTATTAAGGTCTAATTACATTCAGTCAAATTCACTGAGTTTGAATGTGCCATTTGATTCCTTTTGGTGGCTGAGATTAATTAGATTATTTCCATCACTTCAGAAAGTTTCTTGAGCCCCTTTGCAGAAAAGCCCTCATCTCTCACCCCTCACCCCCTCTCAACCTCTGACACTCACTGACTTTATCTAATTTTTGTGTGTATGGTTGTGCAAATTCCAGAATGTCATATAAATGAAATCACACCATATGTGTCATTTGATCCTAGCTTCCTCATCTTAGCAACATGTATTTGTGATTTATTCACAGTGCTATGTGTGTCAGTAATTCTTTTTTATTCCGAAGTTGTACGAAGGTGACACAATTTATTTCTCTATTCACCAGTTGTTTTGGTCAATTATGAACAAAACATCTATACACATTCCCATATTGGTAGATCTTTGTGGGAACCTGTGTTTTCATTTCTCTTGGGTAAGAACACAGGAATGAGATTCTTAGTATGTTTGACTTTATAGGAAAGACCTTACATCTCTTCAACATCAATTCAATGGAGCTTTGAAGTTTTTAGGTTTGTAAACTTGAAAATTTGTAACTTCCATAGATACCCTGAGTGTTATATAACTGGATGGATGTTCCCTGCCCCATCCTGGAAACTGGGGAGGAGACAGGAACTGTAGAGGTACTGAGTTAGGACCTCCAAACCTGAACATAGTTCGCATGAAAGCCAGAGCTGAGTTTAAAGTTTGGCACTAAAGAAAGCCAATGTCATGAGTGAGCTGTGTTGTTAACATAGACCCAACACATATGTGTCTTTCCACAGTGTCAGAATTTATTGAATAACAGTAAATTAATGAGCTACACCACTTTTAGCAGCTGAAATTCACTGAATACTCATGAGTCACCTGATAGTCCTAAGCCAAGCAATCACAAGTTCTTCAATTCCAAACTAAACCATTAACATGTATAACACTCAAGCCAAACATCTCTCTCTCTCTCTCTCTCACACACACACACACGTGTGTGTGTATGTGTGTGTAGTGTGTGTGTGTATATATACACACTACACACATATATGTGTATATATCAGAAAGGCTAAGAAAAGGCTAAGGTAGCCACAGAAGCTCAGGAGACAGAGAGCAAAGACAGAGAGCAGATATGAATGCAAAGAGTCAGTGCAGGTGGTCAGATAAGATGAGAAACCAGCCTAAGAAATTTGTTTGGGGCACAGAGGTGTCAAAGTGTAGAACTTATTCTAGGACAGGGTCCAGAGGGATGGCAGTTTCACAGTGTTAGCTTCAGATGTCAGCTTGAAATGGGCTGTGCATGGTTGTCACATGTAAGAGAAACCACGCCATGCTGAAGCCCTAGGACAGAGAATCAGAAATTAGTCACTGTGTACAATTTTCCTGGACAAGGCTCTTAATGAGTGACCAGGTGACAGGGTCAGTTTGCCAATGTGTCCAGTCCTGGAGTACTTCATTTTATGGGTCTCTGGTGAGGGGGTTTCTTCTTTGGTGGTCTGGTATTTTCTATAAGTTCATGGGCCTGGTTTTTCTGATATGGGGTTGAAAGACCTATGAATCCATGCACTTCTGATTAATTTGATAAGTTCACAATGTTAGGGAGTAGCTAGCAATGAGCAGTGAAATACATGGAAAGGTCACAAGTGTTCTTTAAATTACTTTAGGGTCCTCTTTAAACTACTTTCAAAGTGGACAAGAAAGCAAAGGGTGGTAGTTAATTTGTAGAAAATAAATAGAAGCAAAGGAGATAATGGGAAAATATGTCAAAAGAAAAGAATTAATGGGACTAACTCTTGACAGGGTCCATTGATGTAGATGTGAAGCTAGGAATTATGGCTAGAGTGCTTCCACTTGTCTGGGAAGGAAGATTCCTTTAGTAGTGCAGGTGCACTATGGTAACTTCTGACCAGCTCTTGACCCCAGTGCCCACATTTATATGGGATTGACTTGTAGATGAAGCCTCCTAAATAGGATGGCCACCATGACAGTTCCAGAGAGAGCCAGTGAATGCAAAGAGTCAGTGTATGTAGGTGGTCTGGTATGTCAAAAACTCCACTACCCAACATGAAGGAGGAGTTGAACACCTGATTGGCAAAGAGTACAGAAGGTGGTTCCCAGTTCTCCTGGTAAACATCAAACAATAATAAATTTGGAGACAGCATTGTCTCCTTTGTCATTCTCTGCTGAAGATGGCCCACTCTTTCTCTTGAGGGTGCTCTCTGCTTAAGCCTCACTTTGCTTTTACTTTACTTTCACTTATAACAAGTTCTCTTGCATGGCTTTTTGTGCCTGACTTTAAATTTTCTTTAATTGGAACACAAGAACTGAGGTTTAGAGTTTCAGCTCCCTGCTTTTCAGTGACAACAAGTGGTCATTTTTTGTTCATAGGATCAATTACTGGTTTGTGCCTTATGGTTGTAATAGGCAGATAATGGTTGTTCAGTTGCACAAATAAGTAAAGTTCATTTACTTTAGTAGTTATACTCAAAGTTGAGTAACTAACTCAAAGTTGAGTAACTAATGGCAAATTTCTGCTTTGTAAAATGGAGTAATTCTGGGTTGGGCACAATCTAAAAACTACTGATCATATTAATCATAGAGTACCCCAGAGCAGGGCACAGTCTGCTGTCTACACAGAGAATGGAAAGAAAATGGTGAGGAGGGATATTTGGGGCTGAGGTTTTACTCAGAAGAACAAGTAGAGGTGTTAAAATGCATCTATAAGACCTGTATGTGTTGTTACTGCAGACACTAAGGGATGGGATGGTGGGTGTGACCTGGGAAACCAATAAAGGAAACTGAGTTCCCTACCCATGTGGAGAAGAGAGAACAGCCTCAGACTCTGAGCAGGACGGGTTGGGGAAGTCAACCTTGAATAGTCCAAGAGGGTTCCCCCAAGGGAGCACAGGATGTGGGGTAGGGCTGTGGGTTTTCCACTCTCCTGTGGGTCTGGAGGGCCATGACCCTAGCTAACTTCTGCCTTTGACAGCTTGCCCTATTCAATAGGCTTCTGTTTTCTGGTACCTCCCCACAGTTGGGTCCTGGGAATAATTGAGTCTTCCATAAATAAGGCTGCAGATAAATGGGATAACTCACCTGACATACCCTTCCCTAGATCACAGCAGATAGTTTGGTAAGTGTTTGGGAGGATCTGAGTAGACACATCTGCTTGTGGGGGTTTAGTCCCAACTTACTTAGGTCACAGTAGTGGGGCTATCCTTGTGAATGAGACCCCAACACACTTCAGTGGACAAGCCATTTGGCTTGCATATTTCTCATTGGTTCATCCAGGCCTGAGGAACTATGTCTCAAGTCAGCCCAGTCAATGGCCTGGGGAGAAAATGAGAGTGTTTCTGAGTAACATGTTGACCAAGTTAGTAGGGTTCTTGCATTGGGCTGGGGCAGTAGGCAAAACGAAAGGAGCCCTTCCCAGATACTTTTATAAGTCCACAAGGAAAAGGGTCACTGGTGTCTGGGCTTGTATCCTGTCTCTTGTACTCCATTAGTTATGGCACCTTGGGTGAGTAACTTACTTAATCTCTGTGCCAAAGTATGTAACTTAGGAATTTTTCAGCAGCTACTAACAAAGCCCTTAACAATATTTTAAACATGGAAAGCATTTATCTCTTACACACCTTCCATATTTTTGCTCTGCTACCCTTAGCACATGGATTCCATCTTCAGTATAATCTCATATTCCATTAGGGCTGCAGGTGGCCTAGCCATCATATCTTCATTCTGGACAAAAAGGAAGGTTAAAAAGGAACACACATCTTAAAGAGCTTTTCCAGATGTCCCCATTTCAAGAGTTTTTTTTTTTTTTCTTTTTTCAGAAATCCCATTCAACATTCTCTTTCCCATTTCATTGTCTGGAAGAAGACCTGTGCTCCTGGAAAACAGGGAAGGTTAAGAATTTCCCCCATTCTCAGTGTGCTAGAAACAAGCCTACTGCAAAGAAAGCCCCTTCTCAATACGATTTGGACAAGAGTCACAATGAACCCCCACTTTGTTTACCTAAAACCAGAAAGAGCCCTTCAAATTCCTTTTCATTTTTCTAGTCTTTGGTCATGTTTGTTGCATGTATTTCTCCCTGTTTTCGCTTTTTATTTTGGTTTCCTTTTTTGAGTAGAAGTTTCCAACATTTGGGGCTTAGCATGTGAGAGTTTTTTCATCACTTTTAAGCTTAAATCCTCCACCAGGAACACCTGATAATAGTGGTGACGATGATTATTATTTTGGTCTGTGTTGTTACAATCAATGTTTCACACTCATGGACTTTTCTTTTTTATTCTCAGGAACGAGGCGGGGCAAAACCCTCTTTTGCCCGGGCACTAAAAGCTCAAGATTTGCAGATAAGGCAGCGGAAGAAAGGCCCCTTGCCCGTGTCTTTTCCGCGAGAGGTCTCCAGAGGTGATATCCACGCAGGCGAGTCAAAGCCCCTTCCTACCAGTGAGATAGCTGAGGCTCAGCAGAGGGCTGTCACCATTGCGAAGTAAGAATTAAAAGTGTTTTACGATCTTTGGGTACAGCAGAGTCGGGCGGGCGGGGGACACTGAAGCTGGAGTCCCGCCCCCGGCCCAGGAACCCGCCCCTAAGCCCGCCCCCAGACCAGGTCTCCTGAGGACTTCTCTGCTCCGCTGGGTTCCTGCCAGTGCCCGCCCACCACTGGTTTCATTGGTTGTTCCTCCTGCCCCGCCCCCGGAAGACTCTATTCTAGCAGCCAATCGACGGGCGCGGCGGCAGCGGAGGGTCGCGGAGGGGCTGGAAGCCGAGGTCCCGGTTCCTGGAGGAGGGGGCCGCGGTCTCGAATGCAGTCCTCGCGAGCTTGTAGCGGCGCGGTGGTCTGGCCTAACTTGTCGGCTCCGGCGCGGGCAGCCACTCCATGGCTTCCTGGGGGGAAGCTCCGGCAGGTGGAGGGGCGGTGACTGTAGAGAGCTGGTCCCAGATTGCGGGAGTGAGAGGTCAGAGGTTGGAGGTTGTGCTTTTGTAGAATGTTGGGGTCCCGCCCTTATAAGCCAGGGTCAGGGCACTCCCTTTTTTTGTGTGGCTGGTGTTTTGTTTTGGTCCCCTCCTTTCTCAGAAGGGGCTGTAAGGGAAACTGAGCTCCGAGAGCCGTGGGAGCCCTCTTGTAGCTCCTGTGCTTGGACGAGAAGGCCCGGACCTCGAGCAACCTTCCTTCTCCTCCCGTGGCCGCGGCATCAAGGAGTTGGGGCGGTGCCTACCGGAGGGCCTCGACCCGGTGGGGGTAACGCTGGGCCCCGGGCAGTCCGTGAACGGGCCACATCCGTATGACTTCTTAAGGGCTTCATGCCAGCGCCTGTGCAGGCCGTCATTCTCCGAGTTTGATTTGTAATTTCTGGAATTTCATTAGAACGATTTGAAGAAGGAAAAGGGGGTATTATGGCTTTGGTACTTGGCTCAAGGTGGAAATACAAGCAGACAAGGGGAGGTAATGAATACAAAGTGACCTGTGGAAATGGGAGGAATCTCTCAGTTTGACAGACTTTTCCCGCAACTTAGTCACATAGGAGATAAGTTAACCAAATATCAAAATAAGAGCACTTTAGTTGTATTGATTATAGTAAAGATACCTTGGAATGTGTAAAGTATTGAGTAAAAATTCTTTGTACCAAGGTTCTGAATTTAAGATTCTTAGTACAAGGAAACAGAACAATCTTACCTGTCATTGCAAGGATCCCAATCACTTTACCACTGTGAGACCAAAAATTGAAGTTGTGTATAGATGTGGGATTTTTGGGGGGCGAGGGAGGATATAGTTATCAGTAAGGAATAAGGCAGAAGTGTGGGGAATCTCTTGTTTTCTGCACGAAAAGTATGAAATTAGGGGAAAAAATGTTTTTATTCTGCCCGTGTCCTTCCATCTCAGCCAGCATAAGGACATTCTTGTTTTGGACTGATGGTATTTGTTCAGTATTTGCAATAATCAGGGAAAGGGATCATTGCTATGAGACACTTCTCTTTAATGAAACCAAGGAAGAATGAATATACCTTATATGGGATTAACCCTGGGATTTGGTTTTCAGTTAAAATGAGGCAAAAGGGAATGTTAACCAAGACCTTACAAGGCCCAGCTGTTGTGTGTACAACTCCAAGCAGCCACATTTATGTGTTCAAGAATGGCAGTGGGGATTCTGGGGACTCCTCTGAGGAAGAGTCTCAACATGTTGTTCTACGGCCACGGGGCAAGGAACGCCAGAAGAACAGTGTTCACCACCCTCACAAGCCTGGAGCAGGTGACATGGTGCTGCTCCAACGGGAGCTGGCCCAGGAGGACAACCTCAACAAGCTGGCTCTTCAGTATGGCTGCAAAGTAAGATACCCGCCAAATACTTTGTCCCCTTGTATTTAGAGGAACATAGAGTAACTTATTTGTTACCCTTGCTGACCCCTAATAAGTGGCCAGAGGCTTATTGTAGCAACCAAGGACTCCCATTTTAGCCAGAGTTGGAAGGTTGGTAGAAGTATCTTTAGTTCTGCACCCTGGGCTCAGAAATGAGGTTAGTTAGGAACCTCAGGCCATAGTGCATTTGCCTCTCAGAGTAGTTTGACTCTGCCCTGTCTCTTCCCATTAAAATTCTGAGACTTTATTTTTTCTTTTGAGCATATCTTATTTAAGACCTAAGGGGGCTGGAGACGCCAGGCAGAAGTTATCTAAGATTTCTTTAGCATGCTTGCTTTTATTGCTACTTTGATTTTTTTTTCTTGACAGTAATTTATTTGACTAGTAAAGTTTTCCCTTCTCTATTTTAGAACTGCATGGTTTAGCCTCTATGCTTTGTATTCTGTATAACCTTGTTTTTCTCTTTAATTATGTTTTTAGCATTCAGAGTGATTAACAATGGCAAAGTAAGTAGGAAAAGTATTTATAGAATCATGGCATTTTCTCCTAGATTGAAACTGTTCATTTCATTTTGCTACCACTGTACTACAGATTTCTGTGACCTCTAAGGCTATATAAGCTATTTAGTAAAAAACACAAAAAAAATCCCTCTTAAAGTATCTGTCATTTATCTAACATGGTTCACATGATTAAAAAGATTGTGTGTGGTGTTTGGATCTTTTCCAGAGAACTACAGGCTGGTCTCCAGGGACACATAGCATCTTTCAATTGTACTGACATTTGTTTGACTCTTATCTTCAGCTTGTATAGGCATAATGTATGTTTATAGAACATGGACTGAAAAATAAATCCTACTCTACAAAGGCCTACATAGGTGAAGTAGGCCTGTTGGAATAGTGATGACTAATAATTCCATAAATAATATATAATGCCTCCAGTAACTAATCAGTTTTACTATTTTTAGTAAATAAATTTGCTGTTAGTTTAATAGAGAACAAAAATAAAAAAGTCTCAAGTATTTCCTACTTTCATTAATTTCAGAATAAAAAATTTCCCCCATCTGATTCAATGAAATGCCAAAAGCAGTTGTTAAAAAATTTCAGTCACTGACATGATTGATTTGAATGAGTTTCTGACTAAAGGTCTGGGGACTATATTTACATTCTAGTTAAAATGGGCTTTTGAGTTAAAACTTGTAGTTAAAATGGGCTTTTGAGTCCATTTCACATGCTTTTGGAAATTTTTCAAACATTAGCTCGTGGGGGAATTTACTTTTTCACTTACATTCCCCCGCTTTTCCCCAAAATTGGTCTTTTTAACACCTTTATTTTTATTTATTTATTTATTTATTTATTTTTATGTGGTGCCGGGTATCGAAACAGTGTCTCATGCATGCTAGGCAAGCACTCTACCACTGAGCTACAACCCCAGCTCCCATTTCCCCCTTCTTAAATGTTAAGGTTTTAATTACAAGAGGAGTTTATTATGAACTTTGTGTTACTTAATAAAACTCTCAGCCATAGTTCTTTCACTTAAGTTTGAAATAGAAAATCAGTCCATAACTTCCAACTAGATTGATTTCCTATATTTCAAATGATAAGAAGTATTGAGATCTCTTCAATATATATTTGAAAAATAAGTTTAGATGCCCTATAATTTTATTATTTGAAAAATAAGTTCATATACCCTGTAGTACTCCTGTGAAAGTCCTTGAGGGCACATCAGTTAAAAGGTATTACAGATAAACTAGATTCTGAATGTGTCCTTAGAGGTGGCAGAGGCTTTGGCTTGCTAATGTCTGGCAGTTACTTAATTGGCTTCTGCTGTGAGCGAGATTTCCGGATGGGGGCACTGTTGCCTCAAAAGTTAAAGGAAATACAAAGAGCTCCAGTGTTCATTTTAGTGTCATGACTGTGTTTCACCTAAAAGCATTTTGTTTAATCACATTTTGTTTCCAAAACTTGTCTTAAGATTGTTCAGACTTGTATATCTATAGGCATATTTGATTTACTAAGCTATTCATGAAGGCTGAGTAAAAACCAGAAAACAAACAAAACTCCCAACAACAGAACAACCCAAGTTACCTAAACTAATTCAGCATGCAGTGTAGTTTCCCAGCCTTCCTCAGCTTAACTGGGATGGACTTGGCTCATCACTCCAAAAGGTGAAGGGTTGGGTATTAGTTTTAAGGAGGTATATAGATTTTATAATGTGTCTCTTCATGGCATCCCTAGGTCGCAGATATCAAGAAAGTCAACAACTTCATCAGAGAACAAGATTTATATGCTTTGAAATCTATTAAGATTCCAGTGAAAAACCATGGGATCCTAACAGAGACCCACAAAGAACTGAAACCTCTTCCAGAACCATCCACAGAGACCACAGTGACCTTTGTGGAATTACCAGATGTAGACAGAGCTACCACAGCCGCTGATGCCCAGGCCAGCCAACTGACAGATTTCTTTAAAGGGATTGATCAGAATATTGAGCGTGCAGCGCAGTCAGAGATCTTCCTAAGTGAGAGCTACTGCATAGAGACCTCTGATCAGCCATTGCTCCCAGCTCCTCCGAAGACACTGACAGATGGAGCAGACTGTGGGATTCAGTGGTGGAATGCTGTTTTCATCATGCTTCTAATTGGGATTGTGTTGCCAGTGTTTTATTTGGTCTATTTTAAAATACAGGCTCCTGAGGACATCCCTAATAACCTGAACACAACTGCTGTTCATAATGGCTCGATGGCATTGAGTGTGGTTCCAGGTTAAGCCCCAGATTTTCAAATTCCGAAGGCCACCATCAACTCTTCAGCCAGCCAGTCCAGTCAGAACACTCAGGCAAAGAAGTAGGCTGTTGTTTATGGATAATCAGCCCAGCTTTAGCAGTTGGACTTGATGTATCAGCTGTCACTGGCCATATTCTAAAGGTGCTACGTTTTGGTTCCTGGGATATATGGATGCATTTCAGAAGTCACCACAGTATTCTCTATTGCACTGATCCTGAGCAACGGCCTCATCTAACCTAAGGCTGCAGGATCCCAAATACCACCACCCTCAGCCTCCATATCCAGAGAGGTGTGTAAGAGAGACGTTTACATGTGACTGATGGCCACTTCTTGAAGGCATTTAGTGGACTGACTGTGTGTGCTTTCACAGTAGTTCTGCATGGGTCTGTGCATGGATATGCTCAGAGGGGCAGGAATGGCCTGGCCAAGGGACCCATTCAGTGCATGCCCCACAATTGGTTTGGGTTGCCTTACTATTGTGTTCCCACCTGCTATGAAGGGGGCAGTAGGCCTGGCTCTAAGTTCCATGTTTCCCTGGTGAAGGTGCTATGGAATAGTATCCACATGTCACCCTGTGTTAGAGTGATAATGAATAATTATAACAAGCTGTGCTTCGTGTTTGCCTCTTCAGTTAGCAGTGCCACTTGTAGAATTGAAAAAATTCCAAGTCCTAAATGCCATGCTATTGGGTAAACAGCGATTCTGTTCTTCATACTTCTAGAATTGTTTTTTCTGACACACAGGCATGTCTTAAGCCAAACACATGGGAGCCACTGCCCAGTTTCACAGTCATGAGCATCCACCTGGTGATGGCTATGTGGGGTCTCCAGTCAGCATTCTTGGAAGGAGCTCTTGCTGGCTTGCATGTGGCAAAAAGGCAGCATGCTAGTCACCAAAGTTCTAGCACATGTACTTCTGAGGCTGAGCAGTCATTAGGCTAGCACTGCTAAGTCTCTGTGCACACCTGAAACACGATTCTTTCTGCTACTTCCTGACTCCATTCTTAGGAATATTAGAGCCGCAGCATGAGAAGGCAGTTGTCCTCTTTTCTTTGGGTGATGTTAGAGTAACCTTCTGTGTACCATGTGGCTCATAATGTTAAAGACCAGACACATATGGCAGGGCTGGAGGTGTGTGTTAGTAAGGTTTTCTTTGCTGTAACAGAATACCTGAGGTAAACATCTTCTGAGGAGGAATGGTTTATTTTGACGCATGGTTTCAGAGGCTTCAGTTTGGTTAATCTGCTGTTTCTTAGTAGAGAAAACTTCACCTCATGACAGCTGGAAAGCAGAGAGAGAGGAAGGTTCAGGGTTCCACTACCCCTTCAAGGACACATCCCAAGTGAGTTAACTTCCCCCCAGTAGGCCCTACCTGGTAAAGAGTCCATCACCTCCCAAACCAGCTTGGTCCACCAGTGTCAAGCCAAGGACCACACCTTTTAACATGTGGTCCTTTAGAGGGTTTATACAAAACCACAGTAAGTGGTTCTGGCTGTGAAAGCCCATAAAGAGGAGGCTTGATACCTGAGGGAGGAAGGGGCCTCAGGTTTGCTGATCAAAGTAGCAGGGATAGGTGGTGAGAGCATGCTACTGCCTGTGAGTCAGTCAGCTGTGTCACAGTAGGGAGGGGGCCGAGGTGGCTGCTGGCTTAGTCTCTGAAAGGTCTGTGGAGAGGGAGGAAAACACTGCACCAACACTGAGCTTCAGGGCTAGTCATGGCACGTGACACCTTAGGCCTAGAGTTAAGCTTAGGAGATCTCATGTGTAAGAGGAGGGGAGGGTGGCAGAAGAGAACTCACCAAATAGGTTTCCAATTTCTTTCAGTTTGTGTGAAGAAACAGTGTGTTCACTAAGCACATTTAAAGTAGCTTCAAAATTAAATATTTTCTTAATAGACCAAAATAATTTAAGGACAAAATTAACTTGTGAGGCTTGATACAGGAAACTTGTTATCATATAAATGTTTTGATGAAAGACAGATTTCTTTAATATTTGTTACCATTAACTTCACCAGAAGAGTCCCATTGGAAAATCACTCTTGCCAGGCAAAAAATGAATATCTGTGTCCTTTAACTTTTCTCAAATGGAATAAAATAAATTCTTCTCTGAAGGAAACATAATTCCCCCTTTTTTAAGATTTGGGGATTGCTAATTTAGAATTGAAAGATGTGGGACAATGTTGGGAAGGTCCAGGGTGATGTCTGTGCCTGGACCCAGCAGCTGCTATTGTGTCCATGGTGACACAGAAAGGTGTGGGATACTTTGGCTGGTTGACCTGTGTAAGAAGCTTCAAGATTGTTAGGTATAGGTAAGAAACAACCACAATTATATTTTCTACATAATTTACTGCATTTTCAGTGTCTTTGGGGAGTTAATGTTTTAAAGAAATAATTTATCTTTTTGTTTGAACAACAGTACTGAATGTTGAAACCTTGTCAGGCAAACTGCTCCAGGTTTCTTCTGGAGAGACACAGTGGCAGGCTTTGTTGTGCAAGGTCTTCTAGACTGCAGTTGGGAAGGCAGAAAGGGAGGATGTATGTTGAAGGTCATGGAACTGAGAGAAGAGCCACTTGGCACTGGCAAGGGCTGACAGCTGAGCTGTGCTGTATAGCAAAGGCTCAAAGAGTCATGAAGATTTATCTTTGGGAAAGACTGGACTATAGCCCTGGAAGCAAAAGCATCATCCATAACCTGTGTGTACTGATTGCTGTCTAATGCTCTAAAAACTTTACACACAACCTCATCTTGTCCTCACAACCTCTTTGTAAGGTAGGCACTTATCCCTATGTTACAAATGGCAAAATAAGCTAAATCACAGGTGGTAAGTGGGGCTGTTGAGAGTCTAGTCCAGACTGACAGGGTTGGAAGTCTGTTTTCTTAATCCCCTTGCTCTGGGCATTGCTGCACTGCCACCTTCTGATTTTCTTCTCTGTGCCTCGGGGAAGGTACTGATGGCCTTAGCCATGCTTAGAACATGGGGGGCCACTCCAGCCTCTCTGGCTGCACTGGGCTGGTTGTAACCTCCTAAAGCAGGGCTTTGGAGAAAGTGGCAGAGAGAATAATAAAGACAGTTTCTACTGGTCCACCTAGGACACTGTGTAGTGACAAAAGTCTGACCCATTGTCTGAATTCCAAGAACTATAGAATCAGCATTTGTATATCAAGTTTCTTGCTGGTGTAAAATCTACTGAATTTAGCCCCTGAGCTAGAGAGCCAAGTGTCTCACTTGACTGTATGAAATAAATTTCATTTGCGTTAGCAGTAAAACCTCCCTTAACCACTTTCCTTCCAGTGCTTAATGCCCTGGACAGGGTTTCTCCAAGCTTATGTCCGGAGAGGAGGGCCAGCTGGCGTCACCTGGCTCAACAGGGGCACTTGGGTAGGGTAGAGTGTGGTCAGCATCCATTTTTGCTAGGTCTGTCAGAGCCATCTGGGTACAGTGGAGCTGCTGACAAGAGGTGAGGCCAGTCACTTTGTCTCCTACAACCAATCAGGTCCCATTACCCCAGAAAAACAGCACTGTGGTGATGTACATCTTCAACCTATAAGACCCATGCTCCTTCCTATCCTGGTTCAAAACCGTAGAGGGCTTAAAGAGACTGCTGAAGCAGTGATAGTGGTGGTGCTGGCAGTGGAGTCCTTATCTCGGGAGACTTTCCCAGATCGTTCCCCAAATTTCCCAAAGCATTTGGTTATTTTTAAAATCACCATTTCACTGCCCTAATAAGAAATATGTGCTCTTCTCATGTATCCTTCTACCTCACTACCCATCAATCCATCTATCCATGTATATACAACCTTCCAGAATTCATTCACTCACTAACTTCCAGAATACCAATTATGCCAAGAGGTGATGTAGTAGCAAGACATGGTCTTTATCAAGATGCTTATAATTTAATGAGAAAGATAAGACCTATTGAAGAGTGGTGAGATGATTAAAAAAAAAAACTGGCCCATGAGAGGGGAAACGAGTATGATACTCAATGGTTGAAAAAGCAAGAAAGGTTTTCTAGAGAGGCTGACATTTTCTTATTTGACACCAGAAAGGTTTTAAAGTGATATGGTAGTGGATAACTGTTTTCAAAAAAATGCTCCTCAGTGTCAGCAAAGGTGTAGAGGAAAGAAACATGGGGGAAATGTAGATAGGAACCATGAGTAGCCTGGTGTTGAAGAAAATGTAAATAGAATTGTGGGGAAATGCAATAGGAACAATTTGAGGCCAGGTTCTGGGAAACTGAAATCTGTGATGAAGTGATTTGGCATTATTTGATGAATGGAACACTACTCTAAGTCTGAGCAGCAGAGTTGATATGCATTTAACAGTAATCTCAGTTTTGGAAAGGTTTGTTTGGAGGAAGGGAACCTCAAGAAATGATTGTTTCAATGGGATTTTAGAGGTGACTGAGATTCAAAGTGAGCCTCAAAAGGACCAATGTGATTCTAAGTAACTGTGCCCAGAACAAAGCATAAAAATATTTAAAGGAAAAAATAAAACCCAGTACCCCAAACCATAAAATTCACCATGTCTAGCATCCAACCAAAAGTTACCAGGTATGCTGAAAAATAAGAAATGACAACTGGGTGGGGAAAGAATCACCAAATAGATTCAGTGACATGAATAACAGAATTTGCAGATAAGGATATCAAACAGCTATTACATATAAGCCCTATATGTTTGAGAATATATGAACACAGTGATGGAAGAAATTAAAGTTATAAGATCCAAATAAAGTTCTAGAGATTGAAATACCTATAATGAAACATGCATTTAATGGGATTAGTGGTAGATTAGACATTGGGGGGAAAAAAACCCAGCAATGGAAACTACCCAAAACTAAACAAAGACTGAATAATAAATTAAACCTCAATGAGCTTTGAGGCATCAAATGGTCCAATATATGTATAATTGGAAAGGAATAATTGGGAAATTAAACAAATAACGATTGGGATTTTTCCAGTTAAATGTAACAGATCCAAAAAATTTAACCCCAAACAGAAGAATCAGGAAAGGATAAGGCAGCATGATAAGTAAATCTTTGAATGGAGAGGTGGCAACCTCTTCATGTCATTACTGTCAACTCTATAAAATCCCATGGGTACAAATTGAGACAATTGCTTAAGTCTCCCCTCCAACAAGTGAGCCTCTTCCAAAGTGTAAAGATTGCTGTTCTTAAGTCCAGGGCTCACCCATTATACCACTCACACTTTCAGCAGTTCCCACTGCCCATCAAATAATTCAGTGTTATTCAGAACCTGATCCCAAGCTATTAAGGTAGCAGTTTCCCACAATTCCATTTATGCTAAGTAATATTCAACCAAGTAGTTGGAAAGGAAGGACAGCCCATGGGCCAGTAGTCCAGAAGGTAATGGTTATTCTTGTTCCTTAGTGCCACTTTGACATCATTGCTCCTTCCTCCTCATAAGTCCTCCCGCTCTTATGGAACATACTTCCTTGCTACATAACCAACAGACCTTCTGGTCTCCCCGTCTTCCAATGAAGTTCTCAGAACTTCTCATTCTTGATATCTTTGTAGGTTGGTGATTCCCCATCTTTTTCATCTTATAACATTGAAAATAATATATACAGCATCCTGAAACAAAATGGAGA